AAAAAAAAAAAAAAAAAAAGAAGAAGAAGCCAACACCAAGGGGAGGATCTTTTACTACCATTCCTGACCTGTGACAACAGCTATAAGAATCTCACCTGGGCTCAGTGGCTCAGCCTGTAATCCAAGCACTTTGGGAGGCCGAGATGAGTGGATTGCCTGAGCCTGCAGATTTGTGACCAGCCCAGGCAACTTGGCAAGACCTTGTCTTTACAATAAATCAAAAATTAGCTGGGTGTGGTAGAGCACACCTGTAGTTCCAGCTACTTGAAAGGTTGAGGCGGAAGGATCGCCAGATCCCAACAGGTCGACTCTGGGTTGACCATGAACATGCCACTGCACTCCAGCCTGGTTGATGGAGAAAGACTCCAACTCAAAAAAAAAATCTTTCAAGGTTGATAGAACTTCTTTCACCAATGCTTTATTAGAAAGCCTCGATGAAGAGAGTGGCCTCTGAATCCTTCCAGAGGCTATCGGGTGTGGGAGAGTCATACACTGGATTAATGCATAAGTTTGTAATGTTTTTCACTTGCCCATGGAATACAAGTGTTGCACCATGGTTGACTGGTCACACACAGTTCATCCCATTTGCCAGTTCTTGGATTGACTGATGTGGGTCATTATGGATTAAGGCGTTTAAATGGTCTTCATCAAAGCCTAGTGGAGAATCACCCAGGACAGAGTAGCCCTCTTTGAAACAACAGAAACATTTTCTTGCCATGCTTTCCCCGTGGCATTCTCCCCATTCGTGGCACAAATGTTTCAAACTGCCTCCCCTACCTTTACTCCTCTGTTAAACAGCAGAACATGTCAGAAATGTTCGTTTTTTTTTTCCATTTGACACTCCATTTCTTTAGCCCACAAGTAGCACTAATTTTTTTCAAATGTGCAAAGTGCAAGGCATATTTACAAGCACAACATTGTCATTCCAAAAGACAAATGATAAACTCCCAACACCGCAGTGTTGTTGTATCAAAAACAAACGCTTACAAACTTATGCATCAACCTAATATAACAAGTTCACCCCAGCATTTCTATCTTCTTGATACCATTCTTTGGATACCATTCCCTGTATACCAAGGATGTTCTGGCA